TTTGAAAAGTTTCGTTAGCGACGACATTCACTTCCTGTGAACGCACGCTAACGTTAGCTAACAGGTCTCTGTTAGCGTTAACCTGCTGCAGTGGCTGCAGGAAGATCTTCAGGTACGGTTTATCTGGAGAGGAAGAGGAAGAAGATTTTCAGAATAAAAGTTTGATGATGAAAGATAATCTGCCAAAACAAAAGTCAAGATATAATCTTGTTTGGTCGAGTCATTGTCGTTTTTATTCTAACCTGAATGAACAAAGTATCTTGATTTTAGGGTCACTGTCTTGTTCGTAAAGTTATCTTGTTTAATCGTCTTTTATTGTTTGATACCTATCTTGTTTCATAAGGTGACTATCTTGTTTTACAAAATGGCGCTCTGATATTTCAACTTTAACTTTATCATGTTTCTTGTTTTACAAAGATACTATCTTGATTTATGAATTGAATATCTTGTTGTCTTCCAAAGCTCGGTCTTTTCTCTCATTGTCTAAAGTTATTATCTTGTTTTATCAAATAAAACCGTCTTACGTTTTATCATGTTGTAAATGATCTTGTTTAAAAAAGAGTAACTTTTCTTCTTGTTTCCTTAAAAGGTATAAAATCTTGTTTAATCTTGCTCAGTAACTGACAGGCAGTCAGTCTTTTGGTGATAACCTCTCTTGATCTTGTTTTCTTGAATGATCATTTTGATCTTGTCAGTATAAACTGCTGCATCAGGCGGATCTTGATGGTTCATCAGATAAATCTGATTTGTGTTGTCAGATTTTATCCTGTTTCTCTCGGCGGTGATGATCTTGTTTTCTATCTTGCTCTCTGAAACGATAACCTTGTCGTCAGAGTCGTCCTCACCTAGAACTCTCAGGTATGTTGTTGCCGTGGCGACTCCAGCTTCGTTGACAGCAGTACAGGTGTATGTACCTGTGTGAGTCTGACTGACAGCTGAGATGGTGACGGTGTTGTTTATAAACAGACGACTGTTGCTATAGCGACGACTGACGGTGACATTCACAGCCTGAAACAGAACAAACGATCAGTGTGTGTGTGTGTGTGTGTGTGTGTGTGTGTGTGTGTGTGTGTGTGTGTGTGTGTGTGTGTGTTTGACCTCTGACCTGTGTGTGGGGGTGTGTCCAGGTGACTCTGTAGAAGTGGGAGGGGTTACTGGTCTGACAGGTGACCTTGAAATTCTCACCTTTGAGGCGGATCAACTTCACCTGAGCGGGAGAGAGAGACAGAGCGGGGGGGCCACGAAGTCCTGAGGACAGACAGACAGACAGACAGGTGAGACGGAAAGGTGAGACAGACAGGTGAGACAGAAAGGTGAGACAGACAGGTGAGACAGAAAGGTGAGACAGACAGGTGAGACAGGTGAGACAGGTGAGACGGACAGGTGAGACGGACAGGTGAGACAGGTGAGACAGGTGAGACGGACAGGTGAGACAGGTGAGACGGACAGGTGAGACAGACAGGTGAGAGACAGAAAGGTGAGACAAATGAGAGACAGACAGGTGAGACAGGTGAGACAGACAGGTGAGAGACAGAAAGGTGAGACAGAGAGGTGAGACAGGTGAGACGGACAGGTGAGACGGACAGGTGAGAGAGATGAGACAGGTAAGACAGACGGACAGGTGAGACAGGTGAGACGGACAGGTGAGACAGGTGAGACAGGTGAGACGGACAGGTGAGACAGGTGAGACAGACAGGTGAGACGGACAGGTGAGACAGAAAGGTGAGACAGACAGGTGAGACAGGTGAGACAGGTGAGACGGACAGGTGAGACAGGTGAGACGGACAGGTGAGACGGACAGGTGAGACAGGTGAGACAGGTGAGACGGACAGGTGAGACAGGTGAGACGGACAGGTGAGACAGACAGGTGAGAGACAGAAAGGTGAGACAAATGAGAGACAGACAGGTGAGACAGGTGAGACAGACAGGTGAGAGACAGAAAGGTGAGACAGAGAGGTGAGACAGGTGAGACGGACAGGTGAGACGGACAGGTGAGAGAGATGAGACAGACAGGTGAGACGGACAGGTGAGACAGGTGAGACGGACAGGTGAGACAGGTGAGACGGACAGGTGAGACGGACAGGTGAGACAGGTGAGACAGACAGGTGAGACGGACAGGTGAGACAGGTGAGACGGACAGGTGAGACGGACAGGTGAGAGAGATGAGACAGGTAAGACAGACGGACAGGTGAGACAGGTGAGACGGACAGGTGAGACAGGTGAGACAGGTGAGACGGACAGGTGAGACGGACAGGTGAGACAGGTGAGACAGACAGGTGAGACGGACAGGTGAGACAGGTGAGACAGACAGGTGAGACAGGTGAGACAGACAGGTGAGACGGACAGGTGAGACGGACAGGTGAGACAGGTTGTCTTACTGGGGACCACCATCAGGTCCAGGTCTCTGGACTTGAACCTCAGTCCGTCCCTCCAGCCTGAACAGACGTAGCGCCCGTTGAAGGATCTCTGCAGGTCCAGGATCAGGGCTCCTATCCTAGGGTTAAAGGTCACATTCATACCTGAAGGCAGGCCCCGCCCCCTGCCCTGTCCATCCTCTGATTGGAGGGTGAGGTTGGTGACAGACGGGTCAGTGAGGAGACACCGAAACAGGAAGTCCTGTCCCTCTTTGACATCAGGGACACGACGAGGAGTGACGAACACGGAGGAGGGGTCAGCTGGATCTGAGAGAGGAGGATCATGGGACATAGAGGACATGGTTATGACATCATTTCCTCTCTAACCTTCTCCCGTCCCCTCAGACATGTCCCCGGTCTGTCCCCGGTCTGTCTCTGGTCTGGACCCTCTAGCGAACCCGTGTTTCTCCTCTTACTCTTCATACCTGTGGAGGAGGCGTGGCCTCAGGTGACCTCACCTTTGACGTACAGGTGAACCCATGTGACCCGGTGTTCCAGGCTCTGATTGGTGTACCCGCAGGAGTACGTCCCCGTGTATCTGGGCTCAGACTTTTGGACCCTCAGAGGGTTTGGCGGTGGGTTCTGGTACAGCAGACGGAACGCCGTGCTGGTCCACTGGACAGAACCGTTACCATGGCAACTGAGAGTGAAGGCGGAGCCTGCAGTCAGGACCAGCTCGGTTTGGTTCGGCAGGAAGTCCGAGTTCAGACGGATCCAGGGAGGATCTGAGAGACCAGAACAGGAAACAGACTCAAAAACGGGTCACTGTGATGTCATCCCCCTGACCACGCCCACCCACGGTGATGTAACCATGGGCGTGGTCACAGTGAGGGTCTGTCTCTGAACCCCCCCCTAATGTGAACAGAAAGACACTCAGCCATTGGTCAGATGATGATGATGTCACACGACTTTATTTAAACCACAGAAGAAGAAATCATTCAGATTTAAATCCTGTGATGTCATCACTGATAGACCGCCGTCCATCATATCGACCTTCAGACAGGCGGAGGCTCTGATTGGCTGCCTGTACTAAAGCTGAGGCTCTCATTGGCCCAGGGCGCTGTTGGGGGGAGGAGCTGGTTTCTTGATGGCGTCCTGCAGCTGGGTGGCGATGCGTGACGTCTGCAGCAGTAACGCCTGATGGTTCTCCACCAGGAGACTCTGATGACGGGCCAGATTCTGCAGATCCTGGATCTGCTGAGAACCCTGAAGAAACAAGAGCAGAACTCAGCTCAGAGGTTACCTGTCCAGGTGAGACCGTGTGACCATGTGATCATGTGACCGTGTGACCAAACAGTTCCTGACTCGTACAGGTACTAAAGTTCAGGTCCGTTTAAACCCGGTTCAGTCTGGATCTGTAAATGATCCTGAATCTTAAACTAAACTGGAGTCTAACTTTAAACTTAAACTCAGCCGCTCGTCTGTAAATTAATTCATCTGCCGAGGTCACCAAACATTAACCAGCAAAGGTCAAAGGTCGTCTGTATGTTCCCTCACAGAGTCTGACGGTTGGAAAAACCTCAAAGTAAACTCAGGTTTAACTAATCTGGATCAGACCTGATCCTAGTTAAGTCCAACATGAACCTGATCTAGTTCACCGAAAACAGAGTCGAACTGGTCCTGACTCACCTGAGTTCCCAGCATGCCGAGCAGGTGGATGACCTGGGCCTGGCCCTGAGCGACCTCCTTCTGGACCTGGACCAGCTGTTTAACCAGGTCCAGAACTTCCTGTCTCCATGACGCCTCCTGCTGCTCTCCAGGGGGAGGAGCTTGCTCAGGTGACTGGGCCACGCCCATCGTCATGGCAGCAGGTTTGTCGTCATGGTGATCACCTGCAGTGAAGATCCTGAAGTCAAAACTTCAGTTTGACAGAATTCCCCTTCCTGCAGTTTTTCAGAATAAAAGTCTTATTTAAGTCGTTTTAAATAATAGTTAGAGTTTTTTTTATTTTTTGACTGACAGGACTCTCGGCCAATCAGCTTCAACCTGGCTCTGAACTCCGTCAGAGGAGCACATTCCTCCATCCTGGCCTTTTTAGATTCTTCATTTTCAGATTCTTTAGTTTCTAAATCTTTAAACGGTCTGACTCCATCTGACCTCTCTGACCTTCTCCACCCCTACACCCCCGCTCGCTCGCTCGCCCGCCCGCTGCCTCAGGTCAGCTGATCAGCTGCTCCTGGAGGTACCGAGGTCCAAACTGAAGCTCAGAGGGGTTCGATCTTTCTCTGTGTGGACCGAGACAAACCCCCCCACACTGTCCATTTTTAAAACTCGTCTTAAAACCATTTTTACTCATGAGACTCGGCTCCTGTTTCAGTGTTTTATGTTTGTTTTTAGTTTTTAGTTTCTATGTTTTTTAATTAGTTTCTAAAAACATTGAAACTATTTTTTACTTTTTAATTCTGCTTTTATTTTATCGTTTTAATTGTTTTTTAATCGTTTTAATTGTTTTTAAATTGTTTTTATGTCTGCGTTGTTTGTCTGTTTATGTTCAGCACTTTGTTCAGCTCTGGTTGTTTTAAACTGATTTATAAATAAAGTTGAGTGAGTTTGTACCTGCAGGAGAGAGAAGCCCGGGTTCGACCTCCTCACAGGCTTCATATTCAAACTGTTTAACTCTTTTATTTTGAAAATCATGTGAGTTTCTTCTTCCTTCACAGTTTAAAATAAATGAATCAGATTTTATAAACTGACAAATTTTCAGCTTTTATGAAATTAAATCTTCAGTTTTTGTTTTGAAGCTTCATGTGACGGTTAGACGACTTCTTCTTCATCATCATCATCATCATCATCATCATCATCGTGGAGTTTCACAATCAGAACAAGAAGTGAAACAAGCTTGTGTGTGTGTGTGTGTGTGTGTGTGTGTGTGTGTGTGTGTGTGTGTGTGTGTGAGGGTGTGTGTGTGTGTGTGTGTGTGTGTGTGTGTGTGTGTGTGTGTGTGAGGGTGTGTGTGTGTGTGTGTGAGGGTGTGTATTTTTCTCGAGTCCTGGATGAAACAGAGTCAAAGTTCAGACATTTTTCCTGAAACTCTTTTAAACTTGTTTTATAGTTTTTTTTTAATGTAATTTTAAATATTTTTTCCTCCATCATTAAATCTCAGTAAACGTCTAAATCTCTGAAACTTCCTCACAGTAATTTCAATATTTGGAGCATAAAACATCGAGGACTGACAAACTACAGATGAAGTACAAAAATGCTGCAGTTCTCCTCCTGACCAGTAGAGGCGCTCTTCAGTAAGTCAGAGCTCCATGTTGAAATGTGCGACTTCAGCGCAGAAACAAACAAACAGACACTGTTGACGGTGACATTTTCAGAGGAATGAGTTTGAGCTCAAAAACAAAAACAGCCCAATAATCATCAATCGATCGTTCTGATTGATCTCTGTGCCTCAGCCATGACGGTCCGTCAGATATCTGTCCTTACAGGTCTGACACAGGGCTCCACCTCATTAAATATGTCATTAATTTATTAAAATACCCGTTCATTCAATGTAAAATCATATTCAATGATTTCATGGAGCGGTGTTTCAGAGCTTCATCAATTTATTTTATCTGTCAAACTCACCCATCAAAGTCAGTGGGCGGATCCTAACACCTGATTGGTTACTCGGCACATCATTTAAGACAGATTGGCTCCTTTTGTTGGATTGCTGTGATCACTCTACGGGGAATATCTCGGTAGGAGAATAACTCCAATAATTCCAGCAGGTTCCAGGTCAGCCGACATCAACTCTTCATTTAACGAACGACGAACATTTACAAAGTAAATCTCACACACCGGAGATGAGACACACAATAATCTACAATTACAGGAGAAGAGAGATCGGCCTACATGTGCGGCACGGTGCGCAGGAACGTGCTCACACATCTACCTTTGTGACCTTTGGATGAAGACTTCCTCAAACTCTGCAAGATCAAAAATATCAATAACCAACTCGTGAGACAGTCGGAGCGTATCCTCAGAGGCTTTTATTTTGAAAAACTTCAGGCTACAAATTAAAATCATGGATCACACTAGATCAGCATAAGCCCCGCCTCCTGACTTTGATGGGTGAGTTTGACAGATAAAATAAATTCATACACTGATCCATAAAATAATCAATAATCAATCAAAGAGTGAAACAATATAATGTAATTTTACACTGAAAGAACTGATATCTGAACAAATTCACATTCAAGTATTTATTTAGAGATGTGTTTATATATTTCATCCTGTCTCTTTTCATCCTCCGTACGACATCAGCCCTGATTTCATTTGATATGTCTGTAAATAATCCGAGATAAAACCCGACAAATGTTCGGGTTTACACAGACGACACACTTTTATCATAATGAACATGCAGAGAGTCGTTCAGATTCACTGACTGGAGTTTCTCCTAAATACACCTGAGCTGATGGTGTGTGTGTGTGTGTGTGTGTGTGTGTGTGTGTGTGTGTGTGTGTGTGTGCGTGTGTGTGTGTTTTAAATAGGAGGGTCTGACTTTGTGAAATCTTAGACAGTCAGGAAACACATTTTCTTCCAGAAACCACACAAACACACACAAAAACACACACACACTATATGTAGGCGTGTGTGTGTGTGTGTGTGTGTGTGTGTGTGTGTGTGTGTGTGTGTGTGTTAGGGTCCCTACTTCCTCGTCTCACTTCTTCTCCGTGAAACTCGGTCAGTGAGGTGAACAAACTGGTTACTATGGCAAAATGTTGTCATGCCCACAGACATCCCATAATACTAGCCCTCAATGTGACAGAGACCGACATCGAGCTGCTGCCGTGGTAACAAAGGAAGGTGTGATGAGGGTGATTGGATTTGTTACACAAAAGTTTTAGACGTTATTGTTGTTTGAATAACGTTACTTTGTAGTTTGTTGACGTTACTGTGTAGTTTTGTTGACGTTACTTTGTAGTTTGTTGACGTTACTTTGTAGTTTGTTGACGTTACTTTGTAGTTTGTTGACGTTACTTTGTAGTTTGTTGACGTTACTTTATAGTTTGTTGACGTTACTTTGTAGTTTGTTGATGTTACTTTGTTAATTTTGTTGACATTACTTTGTAGTTTGTTGACGTTACTTTGTAGTTTGTTGATGTTACTGTGTTAATTTCGTTGATATTACTTTGTTAATTTTGTTGACGTTGTGTCATTGTATTATTAAAAATGAGTTATCTCAGTTGAATTTATTTCCTGTTTATTTACAATTATTGATAAAGTTTAAACTTGTTTTTCTATCTTAAAGCACAAATTTTTTTTTAATCTAATAACCAGAAAATTGTCAAATTCAGAAATAACTCTATTAGATAAAGATTAATCAGTAAATATTTTCAGATTTATCCAGATAATCCAATAAAACAACGTCTTCATGGTTCCAGCTTTTTGACTGAAAATGTTGATAAATAGAAAAAAGTTATGTTAAAAAATAATATTTAATTTACACAAATGTTTTAAGACCAAAAAAAAACAACTGTATATCCAGAGAGTAACTTTAAACAAATCTATATAAAATAACAGAAATGTATTGTGAGAAATGGTTTGAATACATTTGAATTTTAATAACTGAGTGTTTATTTAAATTTAACACAGAAGAGCCGCCATTTCCTTCACCTTCACACTCCTGCAGCACTTCATGTTTTTAATGTCAATAAATCAACATGAACATCAGATTCATTAATAATTAAACACAGTTGAAATTACTTCATAAATATATTATATAAACTGTTATAATATTTGATATAAACAAATTTAATTGACTCCTAATATCCCTCTCAGTAATTAACTCTTAACGACAGAAACACTGTAATTAACTGGTTATAATAAGGTTTTTATTCAGTACAGCTGTGATGATTTAATCAAATATCGAAGACATAATTCTGATAATGTCGACAAACTTTATTTCAGTTATGGTACAGTCTCTTATTGTGAAAGGCTGTTCTGTGGTTTAATTTCCCTGATTAAAAATGTTTGAATTATTTTGAAAGTCCTTGTTAAAGTGAGAGGTTAAAAATAAAGTCAGTATTTGAGAGAGATAACTGCTGATAAAGATGAATAAAGAGCTAAAATAACATTATTTATAAAAAGAAGAAGTAAAAATAATAAAAAAGGAAGTTTATGAAAACGAAGAGAAAGTTCATCATGAAGAGTAAAAACATAAAAAGAGTTAAAGAAGAAGAGAAAGTTTACGATAAAAACAGACGGAAAATAAAAACGTTAAAACTGTCGGACTGACCTGCAGCGCAGCAGCTGAGGGCGATCGACAGCAGAAAACAGCACACCTTCATCTCTCTCTCTCTCACTGACTCAGACTGAAGGACGACAAACCTCCTCTGGACTCACACAGAGCAGACCACACCCAGGAGTCAAGCCCCGCCCACTGACCACAGCCCCGCCCCTCTTCACGGACTAACCGCTCCCTTGTCCAGCAGTGCCCCCCCCTTTCCTCACAGCTTCAGAGGTTTGACTGACAGACTGAAAAAACCTTCAAAATAAAAGCCCCAAACGTAACAGGACAACAGTTGATACCGGCTGTATTCGGACTGACAGACTGAAAAAACCTTCAAAATAAAAGCTCTGCCCTCGGCTGGCCTTATGAGAGGTGGCCAATCAGAAGAGAGTGGGCTTGTTGGGGGGTTCAGATGGATGTGGGAAACAGGAAACAGGAAACTGTTGTTGACGTGAAAATGATGTAAATATATTAAAGAAAGAAACGTTAAAACTCTGATTTTAAACTAACCGTGTTGATGAGGAGCAGCTGATGGAGAAGAACGCTGGCTGTGGTCGGTGAGTGGAGCTCAGAACGTCAGTGAAGCAGGTCTTCTGTTCTTCAGCTGGTCCATCATCTTCACCTGAACTCCATCATCTTCACCTGAACTCCATCAGTCATACCTGTTGTCTGCTCTGAAGACAAAATTCTGATCCACACATTTAAGGTCATCCACATCCTCTGATCTCCTCCAAACCTCTGATCTCCTCCAAACCTCTCGGACCCTCTCTCGGACCCTCAGGTCGGCCTCCTCCGTCGGCCCGTCTGTCCACCATGAGGTCCAGAACCTTCAGCCTGTGAATATTTGTGTGTCTGTGAGGCTGAAATAAACGAAACTTGATCTTCTAATGAATGAACTTCAATCAGACATCAATGTTAGCATGTTAGCATGTTAGCATGTTAGCATCAAATCAAACTAACGTCCATTAACCTAAAAACTGTCATTAAAGGTTAATGAAGCTAAAGGTGAGAACACACAAAGGTGACTCCATGAAACCAGTTCATGTGTTCATCAACAACACATTCATCCTTGACAGGCTAACTGCTAACTGCTACCGCTAACCGCTAACCTCTTACCAACAGGAACTATTCAGATCAACTTTGATAACGTACTTCACTTAAGTTTATTCACTTTAGTTTGTTTACTTTAGTTTATTTACTTTAGTTTGTTTATTTTAGTTTGTTTACTTTAGTTTGTTTATTTTAGTTTATTCACTTTAGTTTGTTTACTTTAATTTATTTACTTTAGTTTGTTTACTTTAGTTTATTTACTTTAGTTTGTTTATTTTAGTTTGTTTACTTTAGTTTGTTTATTTTAGTTTATTCACTTTAGTTTGTTTATTTTAGTTTGTTTACTTTAGTTTATTTACTTTAGTTTGTTTATTTTAGTTTGTTTACTTTAGTTTATTTACTTTAGTTTGTTTACTTTAGTTTATTGACTTTAGTTTATTTACTTTAGTTTGTTTACTTTAGTTTGTTTATTTTAGTTTGTTTACTTTAGTTTATTGACTTTAGTTTGTTTACTTTAGTTTGTTTACTTTAGTCTCACCGACGAACAAAAAACACAAACTGAGAATCAGGAAAACAGCAAAAACAGAAACAAACACTGAAGAAACGACTGACACTGAGGGCGTGCAGGAGGGCGGGGCTATGATGTCACAAGACACGGAGCCTTTTAATGAACAGATGTCCAGTAAAACTGAGACTTTAACATTAAAACTGAGACTTTAACAGTAAAACTGAGACTTTAACATTAAAACTGAGACTTTAACATTAAAACTGAGACTTTAACAGTAAAACTGAGACTTTAACATTAAAACTGAGACTTTAACATTAAAACTGAGACTTTAACAGTAAAACTGAGACTTCAACATTAAAACTGAGACTTCAACATTAAAACTGAGACTTCAACAGTAAAACTGAGACTTCAACATTAAAACTGAGACTTCAACATTAAAACTGAGACTTCAACAGTAAAACTGAGACTTCAACATTAAAACTGAGACTTCAACATTAAAACTGAGACTTCAACATTAAAACTGAGACTTTAACAGTAAAACTGAGACCAAGTTTAATTAGACATGTGAAACTCGGGTGAGTTGGTTTGCGTCCATCAGAGGAATCATGGGTAATTTCTGTGACTCTCCAGGTGAGACTAAAGTCGTGAATCTTTAAAATCTTATTTTAGAGAAAAACAAACTGAATGTTTTTAAGAAAAAAAGAAGAAGAAGAAAAACTTTTTTCTGTCTCTGCTGAGGAAGTGATTTTACACACTCAGCACTTTTGGTTCCACATTCAAACAGGAAGTAGAAACACTGACGGGGGGGGGGGGCAGACTTGAGGACAGTGGGGGGGGGGGGGGGGGCAGTCAATGCCAGGACAAACAGCTCCCCCTGGTGGTGAAATAGATCCAGACAAGCCTGGGTCAAAGACCGGACCTCTAATGTGAGACAGAGGAGGATCAAACAGGACCAGTCCGGGATAATGAACCCTTTATTATTTAATTATGTAATTACTTGATTATTCAATGATTTAATTATTTGATTATTAACCCTTTATATTTTAATATTTAATTATTTAATGATTTATTTGATTATTACCCCTTTATTATTAAGTTTCTAAATTATTTATCCACTGTAACAAACGTTATTTTTCACCCGTAGAAACACAAACAGATCCTGTTTTTGTGTTTTTGTGGGTCAGCAGTCGAGGGTTTAATCCTCAGTCCAGATCCTTCTGCTGTTTGTCGGGTCTGTAGACCACGTCAGTTAGTTAGTTAGTTAGTTAGTTAGTTCGTTTGTTTGTTCGTTTATTGTCCACAGTTGTAAATTTGTCTTTAGTCTCTTCGTGTCCAAAAACAGATCAACAACAACAAAGACAGCAGCAACAGACACACAAAATAAAAGATGGAGGACAGCAGTGACGTGTCCTGAACAGATCTAAGGAGACAAACGTCTACGATCATTCAGCGCCCTGATGGCGTTAGGAAGAGGTTTCGGTTTACCTTCGGTACTTGATAACGTCTGTCTGAACGAAGTCTCCTTAAACAGAGTGAAGTTCACCTGATCCGACTGGAACTCATTTGTGAACAAAGAGAAAAGTAAGAGTGAAAAAACGTTTTCAAAACAGTTTTTTTAATTTCCTAACTCTTTATTTGTGTTTTTTTTCATTTCTAACTCTTTATTTGTGTTTTTTTTTTATTTCTAACTCTTTATTTGTGTTTTTTTTATTTCCTAACTCTTTATTTGTGTTTTTTTTTTATTTCCTAACTCTTTATTTGTTTTTTTATTATTATTTTCTAACTCTTTATTTGTGTTTTTTTTAAATTTCCTAACTCTTTATTTGTGTTTTTTTTATTTTCTAACTCTTTATTTGTGTTTTTTTTTTTCTAACTCTTTATTTGTGTTTTTTTTCCAAACATGATCCTGTTTATCTCCTGATGTTGTTCACAAACTTCTGTGTGTTCAGATCCTCTGATCTGAAGGACACAAACACACGTCTGAACCCGCTCCTCAGTGTCGTTTCTCTGCAGGGACAAAGTTTGACCTCTAGGTGGAGCTCCTGCTGCGCGGCTCAGGCTGAGGCTCTATGAGAAAAACAGACTTTAGTCCTTTTTCCTCATTTTCACATTTTTTGAGTTTGAAGTCATTTAGTGAAGATCAGCTGCAGCTGAGAAACAACGACGACACTCTCAGCTGATCTCAGAGAGCGGATAAGTCTGAAAACAGTGACAGACGTCTCACAGATCAGAGTCTCATTTTTAATCTTTGAGGTTTAGACTCGAGTTTTAGTTTAAAACCTGAAATCAAAGAGATTCAGTCTGCACATAAAACACAACACACACAAGTACACAACACAGCCGAACCCGCCTTTCCTGTCCGACCAGCTATTACATCACACACACACACACACACACACACACACATACACACACACACACACACACAGTCTGGGCGTCCCGCCAGAGGAGGGCCCAGCAGTCGGAGCAGGAAGTCCCTTATTTAGGCATCAGGACATCCGCTGTAGGGACAGGAAGTCCATATTTGGGCTGAAGCAGAGTTGTTTTTCCTGCAGGGAGCCGCTGGTGACAAAGTCTGATCCTATTGGCTGTTTAACACGCACACACACACACACACACACACACACAGACTGGATTTACTGCTGACATAAATACCAGAGCGAGTCGCTGCTCTTTAAACTCTCGTTTCATTTTCTTTTGTCTGAAACTCTTTTAAAGCTCCTGTCAGAGATTTTAAAGCTAAACTTTTTTTTTTTTATTCTTCATGAGATAAAATCAGATAAAATGAGGAAATTTATAAAATCATGTTCAAAGATTTTCTGTTTGTTGTTTTTGTCACACTGATTTAAAAGTTTTGGTTTTAGTAAATTCTGCATTTTTAAATCTCAGCAAATATTTTTGTATCAAATTCAATTTTTCAGCTTTTAAATATTTTTGAATTGTAATTTTTTTGTGTTAAGAAATTATTTTATCTTTAGAAGTTTTTGTGTCAAATGTTTTTTCTTGTATCATGAAATGTTTGTGCAGTTGACCTTCAGGGCCACCGTAGATTCACCTGCTGCAGGATGAACTCGGACGGAAACTTTCACAAACTTTAACAACATTTTACAAACTTTGACCTCAAATATGTTTAAAAAAACTGTCGAAAAAAATCACACAGCGGCTTTTCTTTAATACGTAAAAGTTTAACGGATGACAGAAAACTTTAAACATTTTCAGAGTGAGGAAAGTAAAAAACAGTAAAAAGAGTAAATCTGCTGAACAAGAAGCCAGAGTTTACTGTATTTACTGTATTAAATGTTTTTAGTTTTTACCGTATTTACTGTATTAAATGTTTTTAGTTTTTACCGTATTTACTGTATTAAATGTTTTTAGTTTTTACCGTATTTACTGTATTAAATGTTTTTAGTTTGTACCGTATTTACTGTATTAAATGTTTTTAGTTTTTACCGTATTTACTGTATTAAACTGAAGCAGCAGCGGGTCGTTAAACTTTTTATTCTGTCGGTTCAGTAAATTCAAAAACAGTCGACCTACACAGTAGGTACAAATACACAAATACACATATACTGTAGTACTGCAGTACTGTATAACTGTAGTACTGTATAACTGTAGTACTGTAGTACTGTAGTACTGTAGTACTGTAGTATAACTGTAGTACTGCAGTACTGTTGTACTGTAGTACTGTACTTCAGTAGTACTGTAGTACAGTAGTACTGTAGTACAGTATAGCTGTAGTACTGTAGTACTGTATAACTGTACTTCAGTAGTACTGTAGTACTGTAGTATAACTGTAGTACTGTACTTCAGTAGTACTGTAGTACTGCAGTACTCCTCACATATATACAGTAAACTTGAGTTGGTACTCTGTTCGGTATAAAAATCCTCGGTAACTCGTCGGTCGGCTCGGAGTACGGAGGCTCAGGAGGTTCAAAATGAACCAAAACACAAACTCTCTGTTGACCTTTGACCTCCTGCAGTCTGAGAGTCTGAGGTCAAAGGTCAGGCCGCTCAGGTGAGCTTCCTGTCCGTCAGCAGATGTTGGAGCTGTGGGGGGGCTCTGAGGGGGGAGTCCGCAGGGGGGAGGAGCCGGGGGGGGAGAAGAGGTGGGAGGAGGGAGGGAAGAGGGGGGCGGCGGGGGAGGCGGAGCTATGAGCGGGGGAGGAGTATGAGGAGCAGGGGGAGGCGGAGTTTGGGGGTGAGTAAGGGAGGGGGGTGGAGGGGGAGGCGGTCTTGCGGTCTCGCTGTCTCTGGTGAATCTTGGCGTGTCTCTTGCGCTCGTCGCTGCGAGCGAACTTGCGTCCGCACTCGGCGCAGGCGAAGGGTTTCTCGCCGGTGTGCGTGCGGATGTGCGTGGTCAGGTGGTCGCTGCGGCTGAAGCTGCGCATGCAGATCCGACACTGGAAAGGTTTCTGACCCGTGTGCACGCGCACGTGGCGCGTTAGCTCGTCAGAGCGGGAAAAGCGGCGGTCGCAGCCGTCAGCCGGGCAGCCGTACGGACGCTCCTGAGGCGGCGTCCTGCACTGGCGGCCTGCAGGGGACTTCCTGCCTCTGGGCTTGCTGGCCTGGTCCTGGTGGGCGGAGCTTTGCGGGTGGATCTGGGAGGAGAAGGCTTTAATGGTGGACAGCGGCGTGAGAGGGGGCGGGGCCTGTGTCAGGACTGGTTTTTGGTCCACACAGAGCTCGCCGTCCGGCACCCCCTGAGGCAGCAGGTAGTCCGGCATCATCGGCACCACCGAGGGCGGCGGGACGGTGCCGAGTCTGGAAGAGGGGGCGGGGTAGGCGGGAGGCGGGCCCTGTGGCGGGAAGTTTGGGGGGTCAGCTGGGGGGAGGAGCATGTCGGAGCCGGTGACGCCGGTGTACGTCGGTGTTGTCGTGAAGATGGAGGAGACATCACCGCCGCCGCAGCTGAAGGTCTGCTGAGACAGCGAGGAGGATGATGTCACTGATGATGTAGAGGGGGAGGGGTTGCAGGATGCAGGGGGAGGGGCCGCCATGCTCACCAAGCCTGTGAACAAGCTAAGAAGAGGTTCCGCCCACAGGCCGCCGCCTCCGGCGCCGCCAGAGGCCGACGGCTCGAAGGAGAAACGTCCGCTGTACGCCAGAGGGGGGAGGCGAGGGGGGAGGGGCTGGAGGTCGGGGAGGTCGGACAGAGAGTCTGCGAGAGGAAGAGAAGAAGAAGAAGAAGAGGTGAGAAACAGGAAACAGCTGATCACATGACCACACACACCTGCAGCACCTGAGAGCTCTGCTGCCATCTGATTGGCTGCTGAGAGTCAGCTGATTTTATGGTCAAAACCTAAAACTGAATCATGAAACCACATGAATGTACGGAGGCCCTGAAGGTCAAAACGTCTCAAAACAACAAAAAGATTTTTTTTTTAAAAAGGGGCGCTTCAGGGCCTCCGTACACTTTAACTGTTACTAATAAATATGATCAATAATAAACTAATCAATCAGTTTAATCAATGTAATAAATATGATCAATAATAAACTAATCAATCAGTTTAATCAATGTAATAAATATGATCAATAATAAACTTATTAATCAGTTTAATCAATGTAATAAATATGATCAATAATAACCTTATTAATCAGTTTAATCAATGTAATAAATATGATCAATAATAAACTAATTAATCAGTTTAATCAATATTAACTCATGTATTGATCGCTCTATTTTCTCTTTTCTCATCAAACTTTATTTCCTCACAAATTTCCTCATTTCTCAAACTTTTTTTTCCCACTATTTCACCTCCCCTCCCCTCCCCTCACCTCCCCTCACCTCCCCTCACCTCCCCCCAGCTCCCCCGGCTCCTCACCTCCGTACTCCCCGCTCTCCTCGCTCGGCAGGCCGGCTCCCTCCGCAGCGGGGCCGGTCAGCAGAGACCCTCCGGCCGCGGCGTTCTGCAGCAGCATGTGGAGCTCCTCCAGGGGGGAGAGGGGCTGCGAGAGTCCGGACAGGGGGTCCGAGATCTGCAGGGCGGACAGGAACAGCTCCGCTTTGGCCGCTGCCATGTCCCTGCAGGAGGAGGTGGTGGAGGTGGAGGAGGGTGTGGGTGTGGAGCTGAGCCGCTCCTGGAGCTCCGGAGCTCCGCGCCGCTCCTGCTCAGAGACCGGGTCGGGCTTCGCTGCTGTGCCCCGCGGAGAGGCGCTCCGGCCGGGCTGAGGCTGCTGCAGGGGCCGCTGATGCTCGGGGGAAGCCAAGGCTGGAAGGTCTGAGGGTCCGGGTCCGGGTCCCGGGTGGGCGTGTGTGTGTGTGGGGGGGGTTATTTCATAGAGCAGCACGAGGGTCTGTTTCCGGTCAGTGTTTCCGGGAGCGCGTGCTGACACACCTGAACCTGGTTCTGTCAGAATCCTTCAATGAGGATTCCCGCCTTTATAAAGACTCCTGCGTGACGTACATATCCAAATATGGCGGGCAGGAAGCCCATATTTGGTCCGGGAGGTGGACCTGCAGCCCCGGAGGACTCGGAGGTCCCGGTGCTGTCCGCGCGCTCCATGCTGCGGTTTTCGGAGCCTCAAGGATCCGGTTCAGTCCCGGTCCCAGAGCGGGTCGGTGGATCGTGCTCCCCACCGGACCAGAACCTTCAGGGAGCTGATCCAGCCGCCATGGCCGGAAACCCCCGGGACACGTCACGGCCTCGTCCTCACATGGAGAGCTTCCAGCCGCGTCATCACTTCCTCTGACCTTTTATGGTGTCTTCCTGCCGGACTGATCCGAGCGCGAGTCCAGACCCGGACTACAGCTCCACACAGAGAACCTGCAGGACCTGCTGAGAGTGTTATCGATCCTCTATACATCTATACTCTGGTCTGAGGGATCAGGACTCTACACCCCCCCCTAAAGACCAGGTCAGTGGTTCTCAACTGGTGGGTCCCGACCCAAAAGAGGGTCAATAACAGCAGGTAAAAGAGTGAATATTTGATATTGATCAGATATTTGATATTGATCAGATACTGGATATTGATCAGATATTTGATATTGATCAGATATCGGATATTTTCTGTCGTCCTCTGAAATCAGCTTGAATAAAGATTTGAGTCTTTGAAGGTTTTTTATTAAAAATCACATTTTCTTGGTTTGAATTTTATTAAAGTGGGTCACGACTGAAGGATCATGGGAAAATGTGGGTCCCAACCACTGGGCTAGAGGGTCGTCCAGAGGTGAAGTCTCCTGGTCCAGATCCAGTATCTCTGATGGTCTAATGTTCCTGTAATAGACCCACATTTACAGACGGACCGAGTAAAAAGATCACAGATCAATAAATGAGTCACTGCAGATCAATAATAATCTGGATCTTCAGAGTCCACATGAAGGCTCTGTTAATGCTGAGGTTTAGGAGGAACATCTGGGTCCATCCAGACCAGGACGAAGACCTTCATAATAATCTCAGAGATGAACAGAACCACCTGATGGAGTCCGAGTTCTCCAGAACCAACAGAGTTAAAGAAATAAACTCAGAGATTCTCTCACTTTAAAATATTAAATTAAAATAAAATTTAAAACATTAAATTAAAATAAAATTTAAAACATTAAATTAAAATAAAATTTAAAACATTAAATTAAAATAAAATTTAAAACATTAAATTAAAATAAACTTTAAAACATTAAATTAAAATAAAATTTAAAACATTAAATTAAAATAAACTTTAAAATATTAAATTAAAATAAACACACACACACACACACACACACACACACACACACACACACACACACACACACACACAGTTGGTCCCTCTTACGTCTGGTTCACACTGGAAGCGCCGCGCGCGGAACGGAAGCGCCGCGCGCGCGCGCAGCGCCGGCTCGCGCTTGGCTGTTCACACAGGAAGCGCTTTCTGCTGCGCTCTGACATGCCGGTCAGACATCGACTGAGCCCGGTAGTGCTCGGCCGTTTCCGTCTGCCCTCAGTTTTCCACACTTACGAGCGCTTTAAAAATGGGTAAATCACTATTTATTTACGTTTTTATTTCGTCATACATGAATTAAATATTGACAGCATCTTCAAGTATTGTTTTAAATTATTATATAGGGGTAAACGACGAATAAATTGGGGAGTCTGTTGACTCCGTTGTATGTATAGCCTTGTTAGCTCGAGGCTATTGACTGTATCGTAATAAAGTCCCCCCTCTTTGTCTCAATAACATCACTGAATCTCTGCAGCTCTCCCTCCGTGTGTGTGTGTGTGTGTGTGTGTGTGTGTGTGTGTGTGTGTGTGTGTGTGTGTGTGTGTTCATCGGTAAAAAAAAATAGACCGACAAGCAACACCGTCAATCTTTTTCTAATTTATTGAAATTTACTTTATTTTGAAAATTGACCGGATTCTCTCGCATCTCCTTCCTGACTTCCTGTCTGGTCCGATCTGCTCTGTTGAGCTTTACATCGGCGCGCGCGGCTCGCGCCAAAAATAGAGAGAAGCGGAGCAGCCGCGCTCCAGAGCGCGAGCCGTTCCGCGCGCGGCGCTTCCGCGCGCGTGCTGTGTGAACAGTCTCATAGGTTAACATGGGCGCCGATCTGAAACTCTGTGCGCGGCGCTTCCGTTCCGCGCGCGGCGCTTCCAGTGTGAACCAGACGTTACCTGCAGCAGGGGGCGCTGTCAGTCCGTCAGACGGATGTGGATCTGGTGTTAGACTGACTCACCCCGATCTGAAAACTGTCCAACTACAGACACTCTGTCTGTTGACCTGAGTCTGTGTTTTTAACCCCCAAATTAAACACCTGAGAGGATCTGTCGGTGTTTAATTTTAGGAGGAGAGAGAGGAAGAGGAGGAGGAGGAGGAGGAGAGAGAGGAAGAGGAGGAAGAACCTGTGGGACAGAGAAAAAGTTAGGTTGGAGGATGCGGGCATCGATCCCGCTACCTCTCGCATGCTAAGCGAGCGCTCTACCATTTGAGCTAATCCCCCGAAGTGACTCTTCCTCTGGAACCACTCCGACAAAATAATTGATTGGCTAGAACAGTCTTAGAACTAATGTGATTGGCTGCAAGGAGAAGCGCGGGAGGAGTTTACGGACTAATGAACCAAAATAGAAACTCTGTCAGTGTTGAAGTTTTCTAAACTGAGGAGGAGTGAACCGCTTTAAACTCGGAGTTAAACCGTGACTCAGCACAGGCTCTATTAATTAAACCGTGACTCAGCACAGGCTCTATTAATTAAACCGTGACTCAGCACAGTTTGTGTTAATCAGCGGTTTAAAAGCCTTGACCGGTTCTCCTGCTGACAAAACACTGAGTTTATAATCACGCATTAAAGCTTATAGAGGAACATCTTTCTGGATAAAAAGAGAAAACTGAACTTTTCTGAATTGTTTTCATCCCTCTGTAAAACTGTGAAACTGTGAGTTTCATGTTGGATCAGGTTTAGTTTGATTAAGTCCAAATTATAAACAAGTTTGACATGAAAGATTCAAAGACAAATAAAAGAGAAATTCAGACACACCGCTGTTTTCTTCATGTTCACTTTAGTGTTTTCTTCTTGTCTGTTTTTTTCTACTAAAATCCTCATTATTCTATGAATTCAGCTTCTTTAACATCCAAACCTTTAAAGATTAAAAACTCTTTGTTCATCTTTGTGTACGGCGGCCCTGAAGAGCAACTGCACAAATATTTACAGACTAAAAAAACAAACAAACCCAATCATATTCCACTAAATATAACTGCTGTGACTCTGCGTCGTGGTTACACTCAAAGACATCAGCGGGATTGTGTTTCTGTGTTTATTCTGTAAACTTTAAAAAGTCGGCCCTCCGCTCCTTCATGGACAGAAACACAGACGACCTTAACACAAGCTGGAACGAAACGCACTAAACAGACAACTAAACAATGACGACCACGACCACGACCACGACCACGACGTTACATGAGTGAAAAGAAACTAGAAACTGTCTCATAAACACACCACCAAAAATAAAAGTATAATAATAAATAATAAATAAATTAAATACAGAGAAATCAATAATTAGCCAACGGGCACCGACCTCTCCCCCCGGGATAGAAACGGGGAGAAGTGAGGAGGCCGATTCATTTAAAGAGGAACATAAACCAACGAAGAAGAAGAAGAGAGGCTGCGCCTAAAATCACAAAAAGGTTTAGAAACATCAAAACAAACTTTAGTCATTAAGAAGAAAAATGATTAAACTTTAACTCACAAAAACATTTACAAAGACGTACAAAAAGGTGAACGAAGGATCTCCTCAAACTTTGTTTTTTTTTGATCAATTTTATTGAAATTTATTTTTGCTGTTGGATTAAATGTTGATGTTTTAGTGTTCGTGAGTCAAAGTGATTTTTAATGTCAAGATAACGGCCTGAAGAGTTTCTGATCGAAGAAACGGCGAATGTTTGTCCGACTGTCGGAAAGTCTGACGATCCCGATAAATCTGACCGAGGCACGACTTTTTAATAAGACATGAGAGAGAAAGTGACGTTAGTGTAGAAAGATAAGAACTCATGACCTCTGTGTGTGTGAGAGTGTGTGTGTGTGAGAGTGTGAGTGTGTGAGTGAGTGTGAGTGTGAGTGTGTGTGAGTGTGCGCTCACCTGCTTTATAAAGACGATGACAGTCCTGCTGCAGAAATAGAACAAAGCTGAGACATGTCGGCATGTGGCAGCCGGCTGCAGGAATACCAGGAGGGCTGCATTTAGACTGTGAGCACAGACACAGACACAGACACACACACACACACACACACACACAGACACACACACACACACACACACACACACACACACACACAGGAATGCTGCTGGAAGTTTCCGGCGGGTGTGTGTGGGTATAAAAGCAGCTGAGGAGCTCCTTCTCAGACAGACACACAGACAGACTCCTGAAGCTGCTGATCTGAAACCAGGACCTCCTCCTCCACCAGGACCTCCTCCTCCACCAGCACCTCCTCCTCCACCAGCACCTCCTTCTCCACCAGCACCTCCTCCATCAGGATGTTGTGTCCCAGCGTCTTCCAGCCGTCCCCCGTCGCCATGACGCCCTTCCTGGACTTTCACTGGCCGGTCCGCAGCCTGTGGCCGGAGACCCGCCCGCTGTTCTTCCAGCTGGAGCAGGAGATGATCCGCCACATGCAGGAGATGAGGCAGAACATGGAGTTCATGGAGCGGCTCCACCAGAAGATCTTCGAGGAGATCGACCACTCCGCTCCCCTCTCCTCCTCCTCCTCCTCCTTCTTTAAGCCAATCACCTTCCAGGACCTGGGGAAGGATGGGAGCAGCTTCGCCCTCAGTCTGGACACGCAGGACTTCTCTCCTCAGGAGCTGTCCGTCAAACAGGTGGGCAGGAAGCTGAGGGTGAGCGGGCGCTCCGAGAAGAAGAAGGAGGACGAGAAAGGCTCCTACTCCTACAGGTGTCAGGAGTTCAGGCAGGAGTTCGATCTGCCCGACGGCGTCAACCCTGAGGAGGTCACCTGCTCCCTGGTGGGGGGCAGGCTGCAGATCCAGGCGCCCCGGGAGAAACCAGAGCATGATGGGAAGGAGAGAGTCATCCCCATCAACGTCACCTCGGTCCCCGCCATCACCTCCTCCTGTGAGGGGGCGGAGGGGAGCTCCACCTCCTCTCCAGAGAGCAGCTCTGTTAAAAACTGAAGAGAGTGAACCATCGGACCTTTCTGCCGATCTTTGAGGAGGAGGACTGCGGTTTTTTTCTTTAACTGCACTTTATTTTTAACTCTTTATCGTTAACTTCTGTTATCTTTTCACTTCACCGCTGATGTTTCCTCCTAAATTTATCAAAATCAATTCTATGGAGAATCTTTTCATGTCAACAGAACCAGAGTGGAGCATCTGCTGAATTCACCATCTTTGTAGTTTCAGTGTTTCTGTTCCTGCAGGTGGACGAGACGTGAACCTGACACCATGAGTTTATCTGTCATTACACCTTTAATCTAAAACACGTTTTTATCACCGACGTCCTCAGAAAGACGTTTCCTGCTGCTTTGAACTCTTGGGACACAAACTATTAAAACATTTAAAGTGAATCTGTTTTCAAGTTTCTTAAAGGATGTTTCAGTATTTTTGAAGTGAGGTCGGAGCATACGCTGTATCTAGAATAGACGCCACTTGCCTCCTCTCTGAGGACAGCGCCCTCTGGTGACTGGCTGCAGTATAGGTCCTAAACCCCGCCTCCTTATGGAGCTGTGGACAAACTTTATAAATGAATGACACAGAATATAAATGTTTCTCCCCCCTGGTTGTGATGTTGACATGTAGTTACTGTCAGACTGGTTTGTGCTCAAGTCCTCTTTTTTCTGTACAGCTCCATTTTTAAAAGTTATTAGGGGGTTCATGTTTTCTATGATTGACACCTGATACAGCCAATGGGAGGACAGAGATTGAGGAGATCACCGGGGGATACGCTGTTTGAGCCGAGCGTCATCACAGAGACTCTCCCGCCGAATGCGAACAACGTCACTGAACGATGTTGGTTTGAGGAAGTGGAGAAAAATCGCAGAATTACTGAGAACTTTTCATCTTCAGATCTTTAAACTGGAGGAACCGAGGAGTCGAGAGGAGAGACAGGTGATGGTTTGTTTTAGCCACAATGGAAATTCATTAGCTCCGCCCCTTTAATGGTCAGGAGAACCAGCAGACAAGCGAGGCGAAGGTTTTCAGCGTGATGTCGGTGATCAATAAGTGTCTGTCCTTATTCTCGTCCTTTATCGAGTCCTTTCACTGAACCTGCTGATCTTCACGTCTTCTTCTGTTCTTTCAAAGAAGTGAAGACAATAAACACAGGACACCAGCTTTTCTCTTTCTTTGTAAAATAATTCTCAATAAACTTAATTTATTCACAAACTGCTTTTCAAATTGCCATGTTGTCATTGTTCTTTTTTAATCACATACAATAAAAAACATTTCTAAAAGACAAGAGATGTCCGAGTCTAACTTTGTACACCACTGCTCGTTCTCCGTCCTCGAGCTTCTTCTCTTTTTTTCAATACGATGCGTTCAGGGCCGACACCTCGCCGCGCTCAGACATCAGATTAGAAATATTAAGAAAAAACAGCAGAAAATAATGAACAGAGGGACTAAAAATTTAACAGCTACAGTACACACTTCCTTTTCTTCTTCTCCGTTAGTTTAGTCTTCTCCTTTTTTCTTTTAACGTCTTGATTTACAGAATAATAGAACATGTTCAGTTAAGGCTTATGTCGGGTGTAATGAAGCAAACGAACCAGGAGGGGGCGCAAAGGTGTGTGTGTGTGTGAGAGAGAGAGAGAGAGACAAAGGGACAACGTGTTTGTTTATGAGTCTTACAGGGACATTCTGTGTGACTGTTTTAGAGGGACAGTGTGTTTGTTTATGTGACATTACAGGGACACAATATGAGTGTGTCTCACTAGGACAGTGTGTTTGTTCACATATGAATACAGGGACACGATCTTTGTGTGTGTGTAAGTGAGTTATAAGTGGACAGTGCTCTCGTTTATGTGTTATAACCAGGACTCTGCTTGTTTGTCACAGGGACAGCTTGTGTGTTGTGTGTTATAGTGACGTTGTTTACGTTTGTGTTTTGCGGGGGTTTAGTGTGTGTGTGTGTGTGTGTGTGTGTGTGTGTGTGTGTGTGTGTGAGAAGAGTGGGTTATAGGAAGGTTTAAATTAGCTGACCTGTCTCTTCACCAAGACGAATGTTCAGGACTTCAGTAAAGCTCGTTGTTTGTCTCTCACAGTCGTTCATGGCTGTGTGGTAAACACAGGAGTCAGGACGCTGTTAGCCCAGCACAGCATGAAGACTTCATGCAGGAAACTGAAAAGCTGTGTCTAACATCTCCTCAGGCCCACAATATCTGCCATCTTGCTTGTGTTACTTAGCATTTGGCCCAAATCAGAGCAGTGAATTAGTGTTCTGATCTTTCTGGCATGTCAGTTCGTACAGAGGAATCGAAAAGTTTGATTCGTTTGAACATTTGCATCTTCAGCCTCTGCTAACGGCTTTTTTGGGTGATGTCGTGGGTGTTGGTCCTGACAGTTCTTGGTTCCATATTTTCACAGTTTAAATGTTGGTCCATATGTATGATCTGTACCTGCTCTGAGAAGCTAAGCTAACCCCGTCCTGACTCCTGTTTCACATGTTGAACTGTCCCTTTAAGAGAGCGGCGTCAGAATGACCAGAGCGCCGCGATCAGAGTCAAAGAAACAGGTTCTTATGCAGAGGTGGGACTCACACAAACGGAGTGTGTTCTCATTCACATCTGAACCACACACACACACACACACACACACACACACACACACACACACACACACACACGCACACACACACACACACACACACGTTCCTGAAAAATTAACAGTAAAGTTGCTGAACTAAAGTGACGCTGCTCCATCAGAGCGAACTTTGACCCTTGCTTGTTTGAGGATGGTGCATTCAGGGACAGTGGGACTTCTGAGCTCTGACGTTGGTCTGCTGAGCTGAAACTTTGACTGTCATGTTGTTTTCTCTGCAATCGCTCTGCTGTTTCAACCCCCGACTACCACCACCTCCTGAACGTCAGCGTGTCCCTGAATGCATCACGGTTTGAGACCTCCTCCTCCTCCTCCTCCTCCTCCTCCTCACTGACTCTGATGGATCACCTGATCGGGGGTTTGCAGCTGTGATCCTGGGTACAGACTGTGACGTGTGAACAGCAGAATTAGCGGTTCTGGTCCGTTCTGCAGCAGTAACACTGTCATGTGCAGGTTTTGTTCTTTTTTTGTGGTTCAGAGGAACAAGAACGTCTCGATAAAATGAGACTGAATCCAGACTGACTCACTTTCAGGAGAACCAATGAAAAGCTAGCATTGATTATCGGAGCGTTTCTGCGTCTTCCATGGATCACACTCCTCTGACAGGACCGAGCAGCACGGTTAGCGTTTAGCCTCTTAGCCGCTCTCTTTAACCCGACTACATCACTGCGCTAACTCGGCAAAGCTAACCGGGTCGATCTCATGCTGCTGTTTTTTTTTTGTTACTGACCCGTTAGGATCAGAACCAGGACTTCGCTGAAGGGTGTCATGTTTCAACTGCCTCCCCCGAGTCTCAGTTTTACTGTGATGAACAAGACAAACTGAAATCTGCGGGACGACGGCGCCGAGGAGCCGAAACAAACCGTCTGATTTCACCGCCATAAACCCTGACCTTAAAACACTCGTTTTTTCAATGGAGTTTGGTGGGTACAAAGAGTGTCCAGTAAAACACAGACAAGCAGAGGAACCAGGAAACTGAAGAGTGTCGCTCATCTTCACCTGACCATGTGACCGACCAGCAGGCGGCGCTATTTTATAACTTCTTCTTCTGTGGTGGTTTACAGAGGTCCTTCATTTGAACTCTTTAGACTCAGTCTGGATTCAGCTCACATGAACCATAGAGGGGGTAAACACACACACACACACACACACACACACACACACACACACACACACACACACACACACACACACACACAGGTGAGTGATGGGAATGTTTGAACACTCAGGTGAATGACAGCATCAGTGACTACCTGCATCAGTTTGGTCTGACTTAAACGCACCACCAGGCTGAGGTCACATGACTGTGACACACCGTGTTCACACACACACAAGCGCGCGCGCACACACACACACACAGGTTTGTGTAGCAGACCCTGAATTAAAGTCATGAAGCCGATCTGTTGACACACCTGTGGGTTTTTTTACGTTTAAATTGACGTCGTGTCGTAGCTGCTGAAGATTTTTCGTCTTCATTTCCACTGAAAACTCCGATCTCACCTGATCAATCAAGTTCATCAATAATCTTTGGATTCAGGTTTCAGCAGGAGTCATTAAAGGGCCATTTCACCACATATGACCTGAAATCAGCTGTCAGACCGTCAGCAGATCAACCCGATCAACTCGATCAAATATCAATAAACGCATTTTTACAAGGATCCACAGTTTTGGTTCAGAGTTAGTTCGGATCGGACAGGTGCGAACTGATTAAAGTCGTAACATCACGAACTTTCAGTTAGGAGAAATCCTGTTTTTTCAGAGAATCAGGTTCAAATAAACGAAACTCAAAGAGTTAACGAGCAAAAGGAAGTGAAAAATATAAAAAGGTGAGGTCGTTAAAGTCCGAAGATTAGGGCGTGTGTGACGGACGATAAAGTCAGTCTGAGGTTCAAGACGTTAACGAAGAAGAGTCTTAATGATCCCAGAATCAAGTTTATTCGATAGTAAAGTCGTTAGTTTAGTCGTTAGTTCAGTCACAGTTTGGTTGTTCATTGATCGTTCGTTTAGTCGTTAGTTCGTCATTCGTTAGCTAGGTCATTTTTTTGATTGTTACTATGGTGGAAGGTTAAGTCGTTCGTTTAGTCGTTAGTTTAGTCGTTAGTTTGGTCGTTAGTTTGGTCGTTCGTTTAGTCGTTAGTTTGGTTGTTCATTGATCGTTAGTTCAGTCGTTTGTTAGTTCGGTCATTTTTTTGATTGTTACTTTGGTGGAAGGTTAAGTCGTTCGTTAAGTCGTTAGTTCGGTCGTTAGTTTAGTCGTTAGTTCGGTCGTTAGTTTAGTCGTTAGTTTGGTCGTTAGTTCAGTCACAGTTTAGTTGTTCATTGATCGTTCATTTAGTCGTTAGTTTGTCATTCGTTAGCTAGGTCATTTTTTTGATTGTTACTTTGGTGGAAGGTTAAGTCCTTAGTTTAGTCGTTAGTTTAGTCGTTAGTTTAGTCGTTAGTTCAGTCGTTAGTTTAGTCGTTAGTTCAGTCGTTAGTTTAGTCACAGTTTGGTTGTTCATTGATCGTTAGTTCAGTCGTTCGTTAGTTCGGTCATTTTTTTGACTGTTACTTTGGTGGAAGGTTAAGTCGTTCGTTTAGTCGTTAGTTTGGTCGTTCGTTTAGTCGTTAGTTTGGTCGTTAGTTTAGTCGTTCGTTTAGTCGTTAGTTTGGTCGTTAGTTTAGTCGTTAGTTTGGTCGTTAGTTTAGTCGTTAGTTTAGTCGTTAGTTCAGTCGTTAGTTTGGTCGTTAGTTTAGTCGTTAGTTCAGTCGTTAGTTCAGTCGTTAGTTCAGTCGTTAGTTCAGTCGTTAGTTTAGTCGTTCGTTTAGTCGTTCGCTTAGTCGTTAGTTTAGTCGTTAGTTTAGTCGTTCGTTTAGTCGTTCGTTTAGTCGTTCGTTTAGTCGTTAGTTCAGTCGTTAGTTTGGTCGTTAGTTTAGTCGTTAGTTCAGTCGTTAGTTTAGTCGTTAGTTCAGTCGTTAGTTCAGTCGTTAGTTTAGTCGTTCGTTTAGTCGTTCGTTTAGTCGTTAGTTTAGTCGTTAGTTTAGTCGTTCGTTTAGTCGTTAGTTTAGTCGTTAGTTTAGTCGTTCGTTTAGTCGTTAGTTTAGTCGTTAGTTTAGTCACAGTTTGGTTGTTCATTGATCGTTAGTTCAGTCGTTCGTTAGTTCGGTCATTTTTTTGACTGTTACTTTGGTGGAAGGTTAAGTCGTTCGTTTAGTCGTTAGTTTGGTCGTTCGTTTAGTCGTTCGTTTAGTCGTTCGTTTAGTCGTTCGTTTAGTCGTTCGTTTAGTCGTTAGTTTGGTCGTTAGTTTGGTCGTTAGTAAAGTCGTTAGTTCAGTCGTTAGTTTAGTCGTTAGTTTAGTCGTTAGTTTGGTCGTTAGTTTGGTCGTTAGTAAAGTCGTTAGTTCAGTCGTTACTTTAGTCGTTAGTTTAGTCGTTAGTTCAGTCGTTAGTTTGGTCGTTAGTTTAGTCGTTAGTTTAGTCGTTAGTTCAGTCGTTAGTTCGGTCGTTCGTTTAGTCGTTAGTTTAGTCGTTAGTAAAGTCGTTAGTTTAGTCGTTAGTTTACTCGTTCGTTTAGTCACAGTTTAGTTGTTCATTGATCGTTCGTTTAGTCGTTAGTTTGTCATTCGTTAGCTAGGTCATTTTTATGATTGTTACTTTGGTGGAAGGTTAAGTCGTTAGTTTAGTCGTTAGTTCGGTCGTAAGTATAGTCGTTAGTTTGGTCGTTAGTTCAGTCGTTAGTTCGGTCGTTAGTTTAGTCACAGTTCGGTTGTTCATTGATCGTTAGTTTAGTCGTTAGTTTGGTCGTTAGTTCAGTCGTTAGTTCAGTCGTTAGTTTAGTCACAGTTCGGTTGTTCATTGATCGTTAGTTTGGTCGTTAGTTCAGTTGTTAGTTTAGTCGTTCGTTAGTTCGGTCATTTTTTTTATTGTTACCTTGTTTCGAAGTCGTTAGTTCGTCGTTCCTCGATCATTAGTGTGGTTGTTAGTTCGTCTGTTAGTTTAGTTCGTTAGTTTAGTCGTTAGGTTTTAGGTCTGGCGGTGGTTCTGAATGTGTCCCTGCAGACCCGGATCACTCTGACAGAATCTGTTTCAGCAGGTTTCTGCTGATTTTTGGTTCCTGCTCCTTTTTTTGTCGGATCAGGATTTAAATTCGGAACTTTCTGATCCGTGTTCAGGACTCTGGTGTCAGTCCGAACCCGCCCATTAACCCGAACTTTGGACTCCATCCTCAGAAATAAGAGAACTCTCAGTCACAGTCGGTTCTGACGCTCTGAGTCGACCCAGAACCGGACTGAACAGAACCAACTCTGAGTTGGGCTGAAGTCTCTGAAACACATTTCTGCAGGTTTGACCGTCGACTGAACGACAGACGAGATTCATCTTTTCGGACGATTCAACCCGAAACTTCGTAAAGAAAGTCGGATTATTTTCCACTAATCTGTAACGAGATTTGAGTGAAACGACCCTTTAAATACAGAAACGACTTCAGAGGTCTGGACTCTGTGTGTGTGTGTGTGTGTGCACGTGTGTGTGCACGTGTGTGTGAAGGTGAGACCTCAGACTCATCAGCTGTTCCGAGTCACCTGAGGGACTAAACGCACCTGGACCGTCTGAGTCCAACAGCTGTAATACAGGTCTGAGACCTGGACCTGGACTAAGACTTGGACCTGGACTCAGACCTGGACCTGGACTCAGACCTGGACCTGGACTCAGACCTGGACCTGGACTAAGACTCGGACCTGGACTCAGACCTGGACCTGGACTAAGACTTGGACCTGGACTCAGACCTGGACCTGGACTAAGACTCAGACCTGGACTCAGACCTGCAGCATGGCGGTCCCTCCGACCGTCACAGCCGGACTCGTGGCGCCGGCAGTCACATCATCACTGTCGTGGTCGATCAGCCTCGTTCAGCTCATCATCCAATGAGAGGCGGCGTTGTTCCTGAGGGGGGTGGGGGTGCTAAACTGAACAGAGAACAGCCTTCATTTACAAAGGGGGGTGTGGGGGGTCAGTTTTCTTCGATTAAGTTCAGGTCCAGTTCTGTACAGTCCCTCTCAAACACCGCCTGCTGCTGCGCCGCCGCCTCGCGCTCCTCCGCCTCCTCCTCCCCGTCGTCCTCGTCGTCGTCGTCCTCGCGGCACTCCTCGTCGCTCTCGCTCAGCGGGCCGATGCTGGACCTGCCCAGACACTCGGCCGGCGAGCACGAGCGCCGGAAGTCTCCCATGAAGGACTCCATGCCCATACAGATGTCCCCGCCGCAGGCCAGCCTGCCGCCGCCGCGCTCCAGACACTGAGGGTCGATGCTGCGCGTCTGCGGGAGAAAAACAGCGGGCGTTAATGACGTGAACATGTGATCACGGATCTTTAGTGTCAGAGCTTCTGATTGGTCGGGGTACCTGGGTCATCTTGGTGAAGTCGAGGACGGGCCGGGCGCAGGGTCTGTCCGGGTCGCGGCGTCTTTTCAAACCCGGTTTGAGCAGCAGGAGGTCGCAGGGCTGCGAGTGACAGCGCGGCAGCTGAGGGGGCAGACTGCGGCGCAGAGACGACGGCGTGCTGCAGGCCGAGGAGGGGGAGTTAGGCACCGGACCCCCTCTGGCCGC